GACTTAGCTGTGATTATTGTCAAGGCTAAAGGTAGAGAAAACACATTCAGAGATGTGACTGTGCGAAAGCAAAAAGTGCACAATGCTTTAGTTTGGCTTATCAATAATAATCCTCATTATTCTGAGTTATTAATTAATCAAGATGCATTAAATTCCTTACCTGAAAATGGTGTACCACCAGGTCTCATGACTGTTGAGACTGATGATGACATAGTCTCAGATGACAATTGTTCTCCTGATGTAGGTCCTCCTACTGATAATCCATCAGAGGATATTGTTTATAATGACTCTACTGAAATGAGTAGTTTTTTACCTGTTGGTGAACAACAACAAACGGAAATTGAAGCTGTTAGAAATCAGCTGTCTGAAAATGAGCCAATGCCATGGCCCTCGGTTGAAAATGAGCCAATAAATGAGTATCAGATATCACATCTGGCCACAATGGCTTTCCCGACATTATTTCCAGATGGGAAAGGTGATCCTACTAATCAAGGACTTCTGAGAGATGTCCCTCTTCAGGAACGAATAAAGCATCTTCTAAAATTTGCTGAAATTATTGATGGTAAATGGGTATACCGTTTTGCTAACCACCCCAGATTTTCTTATTGGGCTTTTAACATGATTCAAAGAAAACAAATTTTACAACAAAGTGGAATATTCCTCAAACAGAACCCAGGAGAAGCTCATCTCACAATAGATGAACTGTGTGAAATGGCTGTCAGTAACAATGCTAGTGTATTTATGTCTAAAGTGTCGAGATATGTTGGCAATATTGCAGGTACTAATGCTTACTGGAATAGAGTAAGAGAGGAACTCAAAGCTATCATAACTAGTGTTGGAGCACCAACATTATTCTTCACTTTCTCCTCTGCAGATATGCATTGGCCTGAGTTACATGCTTTATTTAAAACTGATACTGACAATGAGTTAGGTAACTCTACCAGTGATGTAAGACGACAAAATGTGATCAACAATCCCCATGTTGTAGATTGGTTTTTCACCCAAAGATTAGAAAGCTTTGTAAAACACTGGCTTTACGATACACTTGGTGCAAAATGGCACTGGTTTCGATATGAATACCAAGGTAGAGGTAGTATCCACTGTCATGGTACTGCTAAACTAAATAATGACCCAGGTTTGTGTCAACTTACTCAGACTGCTTTGAAAGGTTTCTTAGCTCAAAAATTTAAAGATGAAAATGATTGTTCTGACACAACTGAACTAGACCAGGATATTGAAGCTGGGCAGAAAGCAGCTGACACAGTATGTCAGTATGTTGATTGGTTATTATCAACCGTCAATCCTAATCCACCAGATGAGGACACGTGGATAAGACCTGGGGTTCATCCATGTCAAAGAAGTCATGACATTCCTGAACATGAAAAACAATCAGATTATGTAGATCTATTAAACATGGTTCAACGACATACTCGTTGCAGTACAAGTTATTGTCTTAGAAAGAAGTCAAATGAAACAGAGTTGAAATGTAGATTTCATTTCCCTTTTGATATTTGTCCTAAGACAAAATTAGAATTTGAAAAAATTCAAATGCAAAGGCAACTCAACAGTTGATGACTGGAAGTTACTTCTGACACGTCAACCATCGAATGTCACTAATTTATGTGACTTCGAAGATTCTACTAGACTCTTTTATAGTAATGAACAAGTTGCTAATTACAACCATGAGCAGCTAACAAAACTTGAGCATCCAGTTGCTCATATTAATGCTCGCCATTCATCAGCATTGGCAAAAAAATATCCTCAGATGATATGTCTGGGTTAGAACCTGTTGTGTTTCTAGCAAAAGGTGGTAGGGTCATGTTAACCATGAATTTGTGGTCAAGTGTTGGTCTCTGCAATGGTGCTACTGGGATAGTTGTTGATATTATCTATCAGAACAACCATCAACCACCTGACTTACCTATTGCGGTAATAGTAGAATTTGAAAACTATAGAGGACCTGTTTTTAATGAAAACCAACCATTGTGTATCCCAATATATCCAATCACTGTCACATCACAGACAGAAATAGGTTCCCATGAGAGACAACAGTTACCTCTTAGGCTTGCTTGGGCTCTAACAATACACAAGAGCCAAGGACTTACGCTTCCAAAAGCATGGATAGATATTGGCAAATCTGAAAGAACTGCTGGATTTTCCTATGTTGCTATTAGTAGAGTAAAATCACTTGCATCTTGTGTCATTGAACCAATGACGTATGAACGATTATCAAACTTGAAATCATCAGCTAACTTACAATATAGGCTTGAAGAAGAAAACAGGCTAGATCAGTTAGCACAGGCTATTAGCAGTGCATTTAGAACAACAAACTATTGAGGTTGAATAAGAGTGGGATTTCATATATGGGTCCCAGTTATATTTTGGTATGTAGTTTGACTATATACCCTTTTAAATAATGTAATTTATTATATAATAACTAATTTACTCATTGTTATCACTGTATGTATGAAAATATTATGATTTGCAAGTTGAAATAATGGTAAGTATTTTGTTTGTTAATTAAACCCCTCCCCCTGGCCTACTTTTATTTTCATTCATTTATGTGCTACCATGTTTCTAAGTAAATATCTCATGCTGGCAATTATTTTTTCTATAGTTTTGCAATTCTGACGGATGTGAATGGTGCCATGTTAACTGCTGTATGAAACCAAATGGTTGTTAAAGTCAAAATATAATATGGATAAATATATTACATTGCATGAAAATGGATGGGAGCTTCTGGATTAACAGAAATGTATTTCTATTAAAACAAGAATGCTGATTTACAAGTTTGTATGGATACTGTATATTACATCTAATGCAATGGGATGGAATCTGAATTTTGCTGTACTTGTTTCCAATCTACCATATGGATGTCAGGAACATTGTATGCCAAGATATTACATACCTTTATATGTACAGTAACCTAACAAGTTATTGGACAATAATGATGGCCAACAATGGATACTACCTGTACATGCTAAATAAATACGAAATATTTATATATTGGACAAAAAACGAATAGTATAAGACTTGTTTACAAAATGGAAAATACAGTATGGACTATCATTACCTTGGAAAGAAAGAATATCAAACCTTGCAACAAACTGGTCATATCATGTTAAAAGACATATCGTGTATATTCCTCATTGTGTTCTTCTAGACGTTTTGACAAGTGAAGATTGTTTAAAACATTGGTACCAACAATCACGAGCATACATTTAAATATGGAAATCCGAACTACACGTTATAGTATATATAGTAATTATTGCATGTTGTAATTTCGATATTTCTTAAACAAAATAAATTCATACATACCCTGTGTATAAGGCAATTTAAGTAAATGAAGTTTATTGGTATAATCAACCCCCAGGACTTTGGTGTTGAGGCAGCACTTCCCTTGCGATAGTAACTTCTAGTACTATTAGTAGTGTAGAGTACATTGTCATTCTGTTCATGCAGCTGTAAAAATTAAACTACTAGTAGCACATTAAAGTACATTTAATTGTCACTTACAAGTAAAAATGCAAATGACATCTAAATCTAACATGCTAACAGTTGTACTTTGTCTTTTTACTTATTCTATATTATTTGATTAATTGACTTAATTTGTGGCGAAAATTTTTTAAATTTCCATGCGAGGGTACGCCCCCCTCCACGCAAGATTTTTTAACTATCATTCACAGCCGGCTACTTTTTTGGTATAACCGCCTACTTCAAATCATTCTGAAACCCCTGTGAACTTTAAGTTTGTTTTTATTTATTGGCACAAGTATATCAATAAATACACGTAACATTCTTAATTAATTAAATGTACAACTAGATAAATTGCGAATACAAGTTTTTTTACAGGTGTGCTGAAACTGGTAAGACAGGGTTTCCAACAGAAGCTGGCACACGGCGAATTTCGCCGCCTATACTATAGCGTACACAATCGCCGGTTGTTCCTCGAAATTATAACCCAAAATATTTCCTCCTTACCCCGGACATGTCAAGGGAAAAATTTCTTGCTTTAAAACATAACTTTTACACGATATTCTTCGATGTCCGAGCGCCTTTCGTGAAAATAATCATGAACTAAACTGAGTTTAGCAGTGATGTATCACGGCATTCGTACTTTAGTTTCATAGGGGTCCAATATGTCCCACAACAGCTCCTCGACATGACTGGAAACGGCATTTCCGAAGGTCCAAATTGCAAAACCTTTACAGGGAAGACACTCGGACCCCCTAACTGGGTGGTATCTGCTCCTACTCCAAATTCTATTGGAACCTGCTATTGTACTCAAAGCACAAATGCAATTCTTCAAATACCCAACAGCCAGCTCTCGGGTCAAACATGCTTCAAATTCTTTGTTTGCAATCACGTGACTTTTTCATCCACATGACGGGCAATCAAACAACTTGTGAACGATTTTTCTCCTATCAGAATGGTTGTGGCAAGAAAAACTGAACGGTAATTCATCTTGTGAGTCTTAAACTGTCTCTAAACTCGATCAATATATTCATTAAAATAGCCGGTTTTTATTATACCTGCCCGTCAACTGACATCCCAAAATTACGTCATTGCAAACAAAGAATATTGCTTCAAATAATGCAATGGTGACCAGGTTCATACACTGTGGCTGCCCTTCAAACTTTAGCTTCAAATATGTAAAATGTTAATTCAGTTTTCAAACCTGTCCCATTGCTGTACAATAACAGCTGCAACAGCGCTTGACTTTTACAGGACCACTTTTACAGGTCTCGAACTGGAAAAGGACGTCCAACTTCAATTTCGGTTACCAACTCAAGAGATCCCATCTTATTTTGGACAGCCTACCTTCTGGTCACCATGCACATTGATTATATTTTTCTGCTACTCGTATCAATTTTTATGTTAAAATGTTTAAATTATATTGTATAGCATAATTATCCGTACTAATCTACAAAAGCCATAGCCGTCATGACCAAGCTTGCAAACATTTAAGAAATATTAGATAGATGTAGTTGAAGAAAGAACTAAGCAGTGCTTTCATGGGACATTGATTTGAATGTGATTTTTCCACCACCGCTTGAGCCACTCCCTGACTTTCCACACCATTTTCTTGGGTTACCATACTGAAAATAAACACAAACGTTAAAAAATGCGCTTGGAACGTAATTTTGCTTCCAAGAAACAAGAACATAATTAGCCATTTCCCAATCGAGCAAAGGACTGGGTCTAGTTGATGTTTGTAGGGACGTTTGGAGGGACAACAAGTTATAGTGAGCGAGCTAAATATATATTAAAAGATGCCTTATTATAATTGTTGCGTTTCAGGCTGCACAAAGAGAAGACTGTCCAGCCCCCTCTGCCGAAAAAGTCGTGGGTTTTCTCCCAGCGCTCCGGTTTCCTCCCACAGGAAAGTTGTCAGGGTGGGTTAGAATAAACATAGTTAGGAAAGTAATATCACAATTGTTGTAAAGATAAATAGTCAGGTTAAGTTGGTATACATACAGTATAAGTAAACGTAATACTTGATGTAATCAGTCACTGAAGAATCCCCCATCGGGAGTGAGCTGAATAATCATAATCACTTGTAGAATACATTACCTGCATCAACAGCATCCCAGATTTCGACAATGGATGTGTATACGCATATGCAAACCAGCATGCAATAGCGATGAAAATGAGAAGACAAAACACAATCAATACAGCGATACCAGCACGTTTGCTTGAGGAACGACCACCGCGGGATTTTGTCTTCTGGTTAGCTCCTGTTCGTCCCGATGAATGATAACTTGTTGTTGGTGTTGTTGTTGGTGTTGTTGTTAGTGTTGGTGGTTTAGTGTTTGTTTTTCTTGTAGGCCTCGAAGGACACTGAAATTAATTTTAAAATCTGTTTATTAATAACAGGTTTCGGATAATTTTTACAATCTTTCAGTTGATTTGTAAGCAAAAACTCAAAATCATGGAACGCCAATTATTTCTCTTATTGTACCATCAGTGCTAGTGGTCAGTGGACGTGCATGCCTTAAGGCTGGATATAGATTCATGTTTCGCTGTTTATGACCTGGGGTCAGGCGGTTAGGGTCAGGATTTAGAAACAGCCAGACATGAATCTATAATTTTGACAAGACGCTCTATGGAGCGTTAACTTGCTGGGGCTATAGAAATATGCACATTACTGTATATATAGTACAACAATCAAATGGCTAATTGACGAGTTGTCACCTGACTCTTGTTGCAAAATCTTTATACCTGTTCTTATAAAAGCATATTTACATTAGCAGATACAGTTAGCATACTGTTCTTTGTCGTTAATTTGAGCCTGCTACTGTCGGTCAAGGGTGGTATAATACTTAGGGTGGGTGACTACCCTGCACCAACATAATGTGTAAGGGGGTTTTAAAACATATGTAAGATGAGTTGTGGTTTAATTGGTTCCCTGCTGTGCTTTGAGGTTTTCTCCAGATTTTATAGCATTGTTACTCTATTCAATGCATGCCTCCTGCTATTTAAGCTGTATATACTGACAGCATATTGACAGTCTAATTTTTCTTTAAATAATAAATGATATTACTTTTTATTAATTGTATTTTCGAATAATAAATAAGGCAGGACTGTTAATAGGAATGTAAGGTGGCCAAAGTTTTGCCAAGGCATGTCCTCAGAATTTTCCAAAATCAATTAGCACAGTCATTAACGTTTTCACGTTTACATCTCACTTAACCGGTGGCATAAAAATTGGTCATAATAGACCTTATGCATAATGACGTCACAAGGCTTTGATGCAAGCGAGGAATGCTGGTCTTAGTACTCCGCCAGTAGTCATCGCCCGGGAAAATTTCGATAGTGGCCATTTTGAATTGTTTAATTTTCCCGGCCGATGACTACTATATACAAGCCCCCACCGTATGTAAGCCCTCCCATGCTTATGAACAAATAGCCCAAGTCTTATATTCATAGGTGTACTGTAGAACCCTGAAGTGTTATGCTACTGGCTTATCTCACGTGTGAATAATAAACAATTTTCTAATTAATTTCATAGCAAAACAATAATGGAAGCATGGCAATTAAATTCCTTTTATTAGGCCACTATTTCTAGGTGTACTTGGTTTTGGGGAAGAGAACAATTCCAATCCCATTAGTATATATGTTCTAAAAATTTCCCCAGTACCTGGATTAACGACTAAAGATGCTTCTTGGAAGCGATATATTGATATTGTAATAAAGCCTCGTGTTGTGCTCCTGCTCTGGGGATGTTTACAAAGAGTAGCAATGGCGGCCAAGAGGGATCAAGCATGCAGGTATCCCGGGCTTGAACCCCCAGGGATGGCCGATGGTGGGTGCATAATATGTAACAGATGTCAAATAGTGGTCTTATTTTGTTACCCACATAACCATTTCAATAGCTGAAGTATAAATTCTATAGTCCTTTGAAAGTAGTTTGAAATTATACTTTCATGTTTACAAATCAGGGTTTAATTCAATTACATTTAATTTAGCATTTCGGCCTAATTCTAAAAATATTGAAAATTATATGCAAAAATTGAAAATTATAGGCAAAAATTCTTCCTTCCCTCAGGCTTAATTTTGGTCGCGGGAATACATGTATAATTTTCACTTTATTCTGTGCCACAGACCTAGGCGAATTCGGGAAATATATACATAAGTCGTCCAACTCTTTCACCTGTATGGCTGCATTCTACTCCATACGTCACGATCACATTATAATTTAATATCATGCTTGCTTGGCCTTCAGACGGCGAAGTTCCACACAAGTAGAGATGTTTTTATTTCATATATTTGTTGCTGTGCATCGCTATCTTTGTATTTCTGTTTTTGTCGAGCTATAAGATATCTTTTTTACCATAACAGGATTTATTTGCATTAACCGTTGAATCGACAATGCCGTACAAAAACTCAAAAACCAGTTTCAAAAGAACATATTCATACTGGTTCAAATAAAAAGCAGCTTTGGCTTTTTTAGTTTTTTTAGTAAAATTCTTGAATTTTCCTCAAAAATTAGGGTTATTTATGGCGAATTTGGGTAAAAATTGGCAGGAACCTTTTGGATAATTTGGGTAAAAATTAGGCAACTCATTAATATTCTATTTTGTGGCTATCGACAACAATTGGAGATCCACTATTGGAGATTGCCAATCCACCACAAATGTGTGCCGAAACCTATACTCGCCAGGGCACAGGTGCCCCAGCGAGTAATAAAGCTATTTTCCAATTACACGTTTTTCATGCGTGCGCGTGCAAGCACGGAAATATTGAAATCTCACTATCTAATCCTATAGTTTACCTCCCAAACAACTTACTGTAGTTTTGCTGTTTCTATGACATCCAGCAACCAGCCAGCTCTGTCTGTGGCGGTCTATTCCATCAGAGCATCTAAGAATGTAAGATACAGAATCGATATATAACTGAGTTACCTAGTCTACGGGAGTATAGTTGCAGTTATATCTGCAGGAAACAGCTGTTTGCATAATCTCACGTCTATAAGGCCTGATCAAACGAGAACGCAAGGTCATCGCAAGTAAACTCGCACTTGCTTGCCATGACTTGTGATGCGACTGATCAAGCGATACGCAAGTTACTGTATCACAAGGATTTGCAAGGCGATTTGGCCCATGTGCGGGTAATTCTGTAATTTTGTAATTTTGCAAAGTTGCAAAAATGCAATCAATGCAGGCATTTAAATATGTAAAATACTTTTTAAATGCCATCCGAAAGAAGGCGAAAAGCTGCCAGCATCGTGTTATTTTTTAATCCTCCTCTGGTAATCCTCCTCTGCTTTCAGAGACGGACATGTATTTTGGAGCTCCGCTATTTCATCAAATAACACACAAAATCTTACTGTACTATAGTCACAGTTAGATCAATGATAAATGGATTTTTAAGCTATAACTTATGCTTTGCATGGCAAGGCCATTGTGATTCTTTAAAGACATTTTTTTAGCGACGAACTAAAGCTTGATGGTGTCTGGGATATCTCTACTGCTGATATGTCTATCTCCTTGCGAAAGAACAAGAATGTGCTACATATTGTAGGGGATGAGGTGGGCAAACACACAAAGCTACTTAATTTGTTCGAAGATCTACGAGGACATATGTCCACAAGCTACAAGCGCAGACGGGAACAGCCAAACGGAACTGGCAGCCAACTTTTTGTAAAGTCATTGATGTCTATTCCCATATTGATGATCTTCGATCTGGCCAAGAGCTCAGCAGAGTTGCAATCCAATCTCCATCACACTCTGTAGATCATCTTTCCGAAATTATCTCACAGTTTCGCATGGAGACAGACAATTATCAGCAATATAATAAACCGGACTGTTCACAAGATCCCCTCATAGAAATTCCACAGGCTCCCAAAAGCGAAGTTAACGAAGCGTCTTATGACCCCAGTGAAGCCGGCGAATCGACTCAAGTATTAGGCAATGAATCGTTGTTCACACCAGAGTCCAGCAAGTCAGTCAATTACCGACGTCAATGGCGATGGATCTATCTTGTTGATCGGAGACTCAATAATAAAAAAATATACATCCCAGGAAATTATCTAGAAGGAAAGTCAAAAATATCAAGTCCGATCCTCCATCACATATTATTTTGCATGCTGGCTTGGATAACCTGCCAGTAGATAATCCAAGTGTTTGTATCAAGAAGATATAGAAAGCCTGGCGATAAATATTAATAATAAGTTTCCTAATTCTACAATTGGTATTTCTAGTATCACGTTAAGGCGTGATCTAAATCTGGAAGAGCGGGTCGCGAAAGTCAGCTATGGGCTTCAAGAATTCTGTACTAAGAACGAGTTTAATTTTATAAATAACCGGAACCTGGACAGTTCATGCTTGAACGGTAGTCTGTTACATTTAAATGCTAAAGGTTCTGCATACTTGGCTGCCAATTTTATTAAATTTTTACGAGGAAACACTTCCTTTGTTCCTACTACTAGCCCAAAACAAAGACGCAATCAGGATTTTCGCAACAAAACTGCACGGCTGAGCTTTCTGGAGGACATTCTGAGTATGATGTTGAGTCCCCAAAGACCCAACAACCGTTCAAGGAGGTCCTGACTGAACCTTGGTGTGACCCAATCAAGATAAGTAGTGATGATAACAATAATATTAATAATCAATTCTCCCGTATTGACTTAAACAATTTGAAAGGGTTAAAAATTGCAGCTTAAATATTAATAGCCTCTCAAGCACATTGATGAACTCCGAGTAATTATGCTAAATAATCCTCTAGATATCTTAGCTATCAATGAATCTAAAATTAATGAGTCGGTAATTTCGGATGTTGAAATAAGCGTTAGTGGTTTTCACCTAATTCGAAAAGATCGCAACAGACACAGAGGTGGAGTATTGATGTTTATTTTTTATCAGTGAAAATGAAGCAATCTGATTGGCTGAGGAGCCTCTCAGAGCGGGCCGGGTTTTTTTCATTCGGCCCGCTCTGAAACGCAACTGCCCGCTGTGAAATGTAACTGCCCGCTCTGGTTTTCGCGCCAAAAACTGAGGAGTGAAACAATTTTTAATTAAACGAAAAAATCTGCCCAAAACGTTTGAAAAACATAGCCTAACGATAGTCAGAATACGAAAATGAATTGCATCAAGCCCTGAAGACTTCATACTAAGCACGATGTACACCAGAATTGACAATATTTTGATAGAAATGCGACGGAAAGTTAATATTTTACATGTATAAAACTTACGTACGTCGAGAAAACTATATTTTTTTAAGTGCTCATGTATTCGGCCACTTAAAAGCGAAAAAATTACAGCTTAAGCACATATTGTAAAATAAATGATTTCCATTTAAAAGAAGGTTTAACTGCAGCAGTGAAAACATGTCGGTGTAGTTTTTATTGATATTCGAAAAGCTTTTGACTCTATTAATCATAATATTCTTTTGCGCAAAATGAAAGAACAATTTGGGATTTCAAATATTAATTAAAACTGTTTGAATCATATCTTTCTGATAGGGAACAAGTGTCATTTGATAATGGCGCAATGTCAGCACCAAAAAGGATTGTTTGTGGGGTCCCTCAAGGATCTATATTGGGCCCCTTGTTGTTCTTATTGTATATTAATGATTTACCTGATTGTCTTGAGAAGTCAACCCCACGCTTATATGCTGACGATTCACATTTCTGCGAAAGACTGTGTAAAATTTAATGCTAATTTAAATCATGATTTAAACAATGTTAGTCAATGGCTGGTCAAAAACAACCTGCAGCATCATTCAACAAAAATCAAGTTAATGCCGGTATGTCGGATCAAATCATAATCTTGCTAAAATTGGCAATGAGTTCCCCGTAATGATTAATGATCAACTGATTCCCAGAGTGCACTCAATCTCGTGTTTGGGAGTTAAACTTGATGAAACATTGAATTGGGATGAACATATTGAAATGGTTTGCAAAAAAGGCGGTGCGGGCATAGGAATTTTAAAGCGTATCAACCCCTATGTTCCTGCAAACAAATTGATATCAATTTATAATGCTCTGGCACAGTCTTACTTCGACTACTGCTCTCCTCTTTGGGGGGTTTGTAACAAAACACTAAGAGATAATTTACAAAAGTTCCAGAATCGGGCCGCCAGAATAATAGCTGGCGCCAGTTATGAGATCAGATCTGCTGACGTTCTTCGAACTCTTGACTGGGAAAATTTGGAAACACGATGGTACTTAACCAAGGCAACATTCTTATATAAAGTCTTGAGTAATAGTAATGCACCAACTCTGAAAGATTAATTCATAAGTAGGAATATTTTACTAAACAATTATAATCTTAGAAATTCTCAAACTGATCTGACCCTTCCAAAGCCAAACAGAGAATTTCTCAAAAGAAGCTTTAAATATCGGTGCTTATCTTTGGAATAACCTTCCGTTTGAAGCTAAGCAAGCTCAATCAATTTATATATTTAAAAGTTGTATAAAACAAAAATTTTTGATGTTAATAACCGAGTCTGGATTCAGTTAATCATATCTTTATCTGGGACGCACCATCGTGGATTACAGTAGCTTTTGATAATGTACATATAGTAGTAGACTTAGTTTCCTTCCTTTTTATATTCTTTTTAATATTTTTTATATGCATGCCCCCTGTGGAAATCAACTTTTGTAGTTGTTGGGGCTAGCGTCGCTAAATAAAGTGTGCATGCAAGAGGAGACGCCTCGGGCTTGGAAACGTGGAAAAACTTTAATTCGTTTTTATTGGGAACGATTTCGTCGATATTTTCTGACATTGTTCAAATATCCAAATTTACAGACAACTTGAAGCATGATGGGTAAATCTATTTTCTTGCAATCAAACAAGAAAAAGGTTCAACTAATGAAGCATAAAATACTACCCAAATTTGATGCTGTAGTACATCTGCAATTAAAGATTAACTGCATGATCAAGCAATTTCCCACTTTGTAATCATTATATATAAATACGTATATTTACTATAAAAAACGATGAAATTAAGAGAACATATTTACTATAAAATATTCTTGCTATTCTTGCGTCAACTTATTCAGATCGAGTAAATTTAAGCTTAAAATATGGACAAAAAGACGCTAGGTCTCTGGAATGATTTTCATCATTACAAAGTTCTCAAATTCACAAAGTTTAAATCTCGAATTTGAACTGAAACTTGTCGAATTCAAACAACCTAGAGATTCAATACAAACAACTATCAGTGAAAGTTAATTTTGACAAAAAATTTCAGATTTAAGTTAAAACGCGAATTTACCTGTTTTTGTTCTTGAGATCATTTTTTTGCAAGAAATTTTTGCGAAACGTGTTCACATGTCATCTCCTTGCCAATGCATTTTCTTCGCCATTAATACACGTAACGTCATGAAATTTTGTTTTGTTTTATTGTTTTAACAGCTTTATTGAACGATGTTCAAACGGCAAGAGTGCGAACGGGACTCAAGACCCATACGAGGCATTCTCCCTCTTGAATTTTGTTTACATCTATTATCATTATTTACAACAATATTATAAATTGGTAAACATATACCAGCTGATTAATATCAAATTAGAAAGCTATTGCACCACATTTAAGTTATCATGCATCATACAGATTTGTATAATCATGTTAAAAATTTGAAAGCTGAATCAGGATAAAACAAAACCTGACACGAGGAGTTGGTATATGTTTACATCAGAATGAACTATTTCTATGGCATGAACAGCTACGATACAAAGACCACGTACAGCACATGTCAACATCAAAACTACTACTTAATAAATTGAAGTATGTTCTTGATAAGGATTTAAACGTTGCCAAACTGCGAAGATCTCTAGGAGAAGCAATTTTGCAAGTATGATTCCAGAGTGGAACAATACGGTTGAAGAACGATGACTGAAAAGTGCTACTTTTACATGACGGAACTTTAAGCACCAGAGAAGGATTATTACAATTACGGGTACGACTATGATTAACAAATGACACAAAATCGAAAACATCCAAATCATAAAAACCATGCAAACTTTTAAACATAAATGTCAGAACCTTAATTTCCCTGTCAAACGCCAGTGGTAGAAGATTCAGAGCCAGCAATCTGTCCTTGTAGGTCATGTCACCTTTCTTCGATTGAAGGATCCATCTTGTTACACGCCTTTGGACTTAATTTGTTATTATATTGGGAGGGAGACCAAACCTCTGTGGCATAGCATAATTGCGACTTGACAAGCGAAAGATACAGAGTGTGCCGGTTACTGGTCACTGTGATTCTCAGAACAACTTCATCATTCACATGCTTCAGTTCGGATGATCCCAGATAATATTCGAAAAAAAGATGTTTTACGGCGGGAGAATGTCAATATTTTACATTTTGAGGGATTAAAGTTGATGTTGTTATCCTTACTCCAAACATCCGCACACGACAAAGCTTCTTGTAACTGTGAACAATCCTCTGGAGTTGAGATTTCTCTATATAATTTGGTATCATCAGCATACAGTCCTGTTGATGTAGATTCAGGAATGACATCAGGAAGATCGTTGATAAAGAGTAAGAAAACCATTGGACCCAAGATGCTTCCCTGTGGAACGCCAGAAGTGACGGGGGACCATGACGACGCAGCACCCTCTACAACAACTCGCTGGGTACGGTTATGCAGGTAGTCAAAGAACCATCTGTAAAGGTTTCCTGCGATACCGTAATCTTTCAGCTTTCTTAAGAGAATAACATGATCCACTGAGTCGAAGGCTTTAACGAAGTCAAGAAATAGAATGTCCGTCTGGGTATTTTTGTCAAGCAATTGGCCAATACGATGTAAATTACATCTACATGTAGTTCAGAGCTCTCTTGTTGTTTTGATGGGGATAAAATTTATCGATCGATGCAAAACGTGGTTAAAATCCGCCATTTCATCTTCAAAACAAAATGACTCGCTCCTACAGTCGCCATGTCGTTCGATTCCTACCGTCATGCATAGCGGGCATCGCTATAAGGTAAGTGGCCCATTAACTTGTGCTTTTCGTTCAAACGTATCGCTCAAACCATTCGCAAGCTACCGCAAGTCATCACAAGTTAGTTGTGGTCAAACGAGGCAGCTGGTAAATTTGTTAATTAAAATTATTTCATGTTTCAACGTGCACTATTTACAATAGATGACTTACCTGTTTAACACAGGGCACCATTTGCACGAGAACTGTGTCTTGCTGCTAACACAAGAGTCACAAGACTTGAACAAAATACAATCTGAAAAAAAAACACAATAGAAATCTGCAAGTGGAAAATTATATATCATTACCCAATGATTCGGCGAGCAATGTATTTTGTGAAATCTGCAAGTGCAAATTTATATATCATTATCCGAGGTCATTATCCCACGATTCGGCGTGCAATGCGTTTCGTGAAATCTGCAAGTGGAAAAATATATACAGAATCATTATCCCACGAGTTGGCGAGCAATGCGTTTTGTCAGGAGGCATTACAATATTTTGAAACTAGGGATCCAAGGATAGTGTAAAGTTTCAAATTGAAAAAGACACGGCAAGAACTGTTTGAAAAAATGACTATATAATAGGTTAAACGTCCCCGACATATAAGAAAACCAGATATTAATAATGAAAATATATTTTCTTTCTTGCATGGTAGCAAAATGCAAAAATAAAAATTTCCTAGTCAAATATGAAACGTCCTGCATGCATAATTTCAGAGGACATACATAGAGTAAGTATATGATATCGCACATTGTGATAAGCTTCAATCCTCGATTTTTTAAACAATAAGTAAATTATATGACATTCCAGTAGGATGACAAAAATTTCCTGCAAGCTGTAGGAAATCTGCGAAGGTACACTAGTATTTTGTTAAAATTTTCCTGGCAGCGGTGCTGCCTTCCGCAGCAGGACATTTTCCAGCACTGCTCAGAATACTTACTTGGTAATGGCGTCATAACAAAAGCAGATCCATCTTTCACTTGTTCCAGTCTAAGTTTAACTACACTGTATCGATAATAGACTGTTTGAAGGAGCCTAAAGTCTAAAAAATTAAATCGTAAATTTAATTACCTTACCATATAGCAATTAGATGGATAGATAAATAGATAAATAGATAGTTTTAATTAAATAAATAACATTGCAACCCGACGGCTGAATTTTGTTACCTATTACAAGAATTAAAAAAATTATTATATATATACAATATTATGATTTTTTAAATCATATTAAAATCATGCTTTAGGTTAATATACACTGGAAAAAAATTTGAAAATCCATAGAAGGTCATAGAATGGAAATTGTATGGACCTTTATTGGAAATAGAATGGATTTTGGTTATCCATAATAATTGTATATTTTCATAGTATGGATATAGTATGGAAGTAGTATCGATATACTATGGATTTAGTGGTGCAATTGCAAATTTCGTAGTATGGATTTCACTTTTTTTTCCCAGTGTACTATAAAACTGTTTTTATACTGCTGAGTTTGAAAGTGTACATTAAACTCATGTTTGTTCCTTAAATTAAAATCATTAAATTACGAGACGATAAGATACTATTTAGTCTATGACAATCGTTTGAAATAGTTTATAGGAACAGTTTATTGGTAAGTTCCTGCCTTCTCGTCTTCAGTCCCTGGACATTAGTAATACTTTATAATGCTTCAATCCTTCATCATATGTAATCCCAGCTAGGGAATATGATCTTCATGCATTGCTCTCCTTTGTATCGATTCAAGGTCATCCGATAGATATTGGGTCAGACTATCATGGAACACTGGACTTGCGTACTCCATAACAGGCCGTATACACGTAGTGTAAAATTGGAGCGACTCCTTTGTGGCAATGCCTGATCTCTTTAACTGACTCAAAAAATATTTATTTATTTATTTATTTAGCTTCGCCTATAATTACACAATCAAACAACACGTACACACAACCATTTCTGTCCAACCCGAAAACGAGCAAACTTCAGCGCGACAGGGGTCTATGTTTCAACATGATAGTAAAACAAAAACATACACCCTTGACCGCTAACCTAGGACGGTTTAATTTTACAATTATATTAATTTTAGAATAGCTTGATTTTTATGAGCCCAACATGACTTGGCATAGACCTAGACAAAACATATCGAAACACAGCAAATACGCCCAGCCTCCACGTTTCAAGGTTGGACAAAAAGGTGACAACAACAAAAAGGCGGGGTCACCACAACAGCTTAAAACCAATTACTGTGTGCCCTTGGATACAGAAAACACACAACTAATTTATAAATTGAAACTCATAATTGATAGTGTACATGTACTAATAGCAACACGTTAATGGTTGCACAAGTTTTCGTGATGTGTTGCATTTTAAGCAGACTGTTCTCCACGTTCTGGCATCGTCTACATCATAGGATGTCTTGGCAGCGTTGTGGTAGTAGTCCAGCAACAATGTTCTAAATCGTACCAGTGAGAGATCTTTTTGCCTTAGATTTTGGAAGAGAGCAGGTTGGTGTCAACCGAGGTTCTAGTGAGCCTTGATGGGATAATTGGCTGCGGAAGGATTTCGTTCGAGACAGTTATAATGTTGTTTACAGCTTTAAAGAAAAACATAATGTCAAGGAACTCGTGCCAGTAGGTTATTGGTAGTAAGTCTAAGGAGATCAGTCTGTCTTTGTACGTTTCTCCGCACACGTATGGTAATTTCAAAATGAACTTTGTAGCTCGTCGTTGGATGCGTTCTGTCCTCGTAATTAAGTCGATCGATTGTGGTGACCAGACTTGAGTGGCGTAACCTAACGTTGAGCGAACAATTGATAGGTACAGTGTGCGGCGTATCTTAACATTTGTAATTTCCGTTGCAGCCCTACGCAGGAAACTAAGCATTTTGTTTGCCTTCGCACAGCGATCGAGGGTATGGTAAGACCAGTTTAACGTGTCCGTAATCCATATACCTAAATCTTTCTCTTTTTCGGTGACCACCAGGGACTTGTTATTGATCTTATATTCGTATTTAATAGGATTCTTTTTCCTTGTTACACGCTGACATTTGCATTTGTCTTGGTTGAAGACAAGGCCAGAAGATGTTGACCAGTTCTCCAAACTACTCAGGTCACTTTGTAAGGAGATGGCATCGGAAGTGGAATCAACTTTCTTAAATAGTTTCGTGTCATCGGCGAAGGAGGCGATCTTGGAGTGCTCTACTGCATCCGGCAGGTCGTTCGCGTACAGCAGAAACAGTATGGGACCTAATATTGAACCATGTGGAACTCCTGACAGGACAGGTCTCGCGGAGGATGTAGCTCCTAGCACAGTCACACGTTGCTTGCGATTTATCAGATATGACTCAAACCAGCGAAGGAGTTTACCAGAGATGCCATAGACGTTCCATAATTTGCTTATCAGATATTTATGGTGGACTTTGTCGAATGCCTTGGACATGTCCATGTAGACTACATCAGTTTGCTTGCCACCGTCCAGAAGTGAACCAATATAGTCAAGAACCTCTAATAGCTGAGTTGTACACGACTTTCCGGGAATAAAACCATGTTGGCTATCATTGATTAATTGCAGCAAATGATCACGTATATTTCTCAGGACACAACGTTCTAGCACTTTCGATATTATGGAAAGAAGGGAGATAGGTCTATAGTTCTCTACTTGGCTCTTTTCGCCTTTTTTGTGTACCGGAACAATGTTTGCTAATTTCCATTCATCAGGTATTTCGCCACAGCTTAACGACTTGTTAAATATTTGGGTGAGGGAAGGTGCAATCTGCCACGCAGTTTCTTTTAAAAGTCGAGATGGTATTCCGTCAGGTCCAGTAGCCTTGGTGGTGTCTAGCGCTAAGAGTGTTCTTGCGACTTCTTCTATTGTTAGTTGGAGGTCTGACTGTCCTGACGTTGAAGGTGGAGATGATGGTGGAGAGGAACGTTCATCCAGGTTATCATGATCAGTGTTGAACACTGATATGAAGTAGCGATTGAATAGATTGGCAATAGCAGTAGGAGTAGACACATTATAGCAGTAGGAGTAGACACACACAGTTCAGGTTCAGCAGCATTTCTCATTGACATAATATCTGGAACACTTTATTGTTTATTGTTCAGCTTGAAGATCGACCAAAATCGCTTTGGGTTTGTTTGGAAGATGCCATCAAGAGAATTGTAAAATCTTTCACGACTTTCACGGACCATTTTTTTAACTTTGATTCGTAGCTCTTTAAATTTAGCAAGAAGGACATCAGATGGAGATGATCTTAACTTCCGTCGCACCGCTTCTTTCTTCCTTATCTCGTGAATAATGCTTCCATTAATCCAAGGGGGAGAATTTCTACCTTTGATCTTCTTGGTTGGGATGTAATTTCTCACCATGCTAAGGAATGTGTTTTTCCATTGTTCCCAACAGTCATCAACATTTTCTCCTGAATCGATTATGTTCGAAAAATCAGTCATCGCTAAGGCTGAACGTAGTCCGTCCATATTCCCTCTACGGTAATCAAAAACAGTTCTGTTCAGTTTAGGAGCTGCTTTTATGTAATGTTTACAACATGAGCGGCCGTGTTGTATCAGATATACAAACTCGAGCCGAAGGCGAGAGTTTGTATATCTGATACAACACGGACGCGAATGTTGTAAACAACTTAAAAAACGGCTCATCTTATGAGTTCATTGGCGAAGTAATTTTAAAAATAAACGTTGTCTAAGCCGAGAAAATCAAAGTTAAAGTTTATGTAAATCAACATGAATCTGTATCACATATACAGATACGACACGCTTATGATTTTTCTTTGTGTTTTCGTCATGAATTATTATTAATGAGTTTTTTAAGGATATATACAATATAGTCTCTATCGGGCTTTCTTAATTATTTCATTAACTGCATGTTTGTTCCACTAGAACTGGTTATTAGAAACATTTAGGCCAAGAATCTTAGCGTAGTCAACCACATCAACCGGGTTGCTGTTGATTAGGATGGGATCGAATTGTGTTGGGTTCAAACTAAATCCAATAGGCAACTCATTACATTTTCGTTCATTAAACTGGGATTTGTTTGCTTGAGCTTGCGCGGTGAATTCGTCTGCTTCATGTTGAATATAGCTCATTTCTCCTTTGTTAACAAATTCTGACATAGTTGTATCATCGACATACTTCCAATTATTAGGTTCAGTATCGTTCATCATTACAATAAATAGCCATGGGCCTGACAAGTAACAATGTGCCTTAATTGGGGGACACCCGCTGTGACTAATTCCTATTCCGAGTAGCAATCCTGGTTTCGTTTGACGGTTATCCAGTGAACTGTCCAGTGTCCACGAAGGTAAATCATACCTTTTCAATTTCCGGACTTGTAGGTGGTGGTCGGTCAGATGGATCAATGCTTTTCTAAAGTCGAACAAAATTACTCTCGTTGTTCCACCGTTACAATCTGTGGATCAGTTCCATTCATGAATCATACTTATAAGTACATGAACAGTACTTTAGGTTGGGATTGTTCCGTACTGGTTTCGGTCTATTTTCGGTCTTTGGCACTGCTGGTTTAACAAAAGTTTCCACCACAAAACTCTCAGAAATTTTCGATATTATCGGAGTCAGGGAAATAGGGCGAAGATGTTTATTTATATTACGCACAGGCTTTTCTTTTGGTATTGGAGTAATGTTTGGACTCTTCCAGGATTAAGGTAAACGAGTTTCACAGTATAATTGGTTTAAAATATCAGAGATCGATCGAGCCATGCAGAATATCTGCATTTTCTTTTTAAGAACCCAGCCTGGGATATCATCTGGTCCTGTGGACTTCCTTGGGTTTAATAATGATAGACTTTTAATAAGTTGATACTCAGTGGCGCAGAACTCTGGTTAAGTTCTCTCTGCATGCTGTAAATAAGTTGGTGGTAAGGGGTTAAAATCTTGTATTGGTTCTAGGAACGTTTTATTGATTAAATTGGCTATCGTTGGGAAACAAGATTGAAACAACAACTCTCGAATTTTGAGATTCTTTTGTGATTATATATAGTGCTATCTATTCGTTAAAGTGTATGTTTTGTCCACCTAGTTGTTTGTTAATTATTATTCTACAAACATGAGCAAAAAGTATATCGCAGTGCACCACTCAAGTCAGAATATATATATATATATATATATATATACTGTACAAAATTTCAGACAATTTGCCTTAGTTTAAGTCCTTTAACTATTCATTTTTTTCCTAAAAAAATCAGCCTTTCGCATGCTTAATTAATGCATTTACCTAATTTGCATATTCTGACATATGCAAATTAGGCAAAGGCATTAATTAGCATGCAAATAGCTGATTTTTTAGGAAAAATGTAAGTTTGCGTAAATAGTTAAAGGGCTTAAACTAAAGCAAATTGTCCGAAATTTTGTACAGTAATTAAAAACCCAACACAATTTCCATCTATTAACTCAAAATATGATTAAAGCTTTTAAATTTCGTGCGCAAGCCATTTTTAGTTTGTTGTTTTCCAATTCATGAATATTGTTACCATATTCAGATGCAATTAGCGGTACATCTTTGGACTTTTTCCCAATCAATTTACTTCGACTTTTGTAAAACGCCTTTAAACTTTGTAAACAAACTTTACAATGATACGATTCTTTACCTTCTTCGTTGGTGGAAGGCAATCATTTCGCCTACTTGGACTGCTAGTTGTTTGAGACTATCTAATAGCAGCGGTAGTATATCTGTAATTTCGATGCAGTCACGGCGTAAATACTGTTGAACATCATCCAAAGCCACGTTACTGTTATACAGATCATTCTCGTTACGATTTACTCTATCTTCAAGGCCTTCAATGCTTCTCTTTATATCTGTGACTTCTTTCTTCGTCCCTGAATTTATAAACCCTCCGCTCGGGGGATTCGGCGATATTTCCCTCAGTGATGATATTTTCCTCGGGGCAAAGCCCCTCGGAAAATATCATCACTTCGGGAAATATTACGCCGAATCCCCCTCGCTCCGGGTCTATAAATGATAAATATCACTTTTTTCTCCATGCTTCCATCGAGATAATTTCCAAGAAACACCATGCATATATACTCGATCCATAAACCAGGATTTCAACGGAGCAAATAATATACAGTACAAATATAGCCATGCAAACCTACAACTGGATTATTCTACAGGTGGATTATTCTTTAATATTCTTTTGATGACCAAGGTAATCCAACTAAATGTATTTCTTTTACATTTACTTCATTTTAATCAGTGGTAAGCAGTTCGTGAAATATTGGGAGGGAGGGGGAGGGGGGACGAATTATGTTGTCAACTTATGTTACTTCACGGAAATCATACTTCCTCAATCTTTTTTGCCCGAAATTTCACGCAATATATACTGCCTCGTCCCCTGTCGCTTAAAGAATAAATTGATTTATTCTATTTAAGAGCTAAAGAATTTTTGAGGCGCGCGGAATATTAATGAGGGGGGCGCGAATCTTTACACGCGGACATATAATTGATATGCATACTAACAAGAAGAACCGGAGGAGGAGGCAGCAGTATATAGCCTATCAATGCTTTCATGGGTGAGAAATAATTGTTACAGATTTGTACACAATTATCAGCTATCATTCAAAGCCTTTCAGATATTAGAGGGGCTTGCCATCCTCCTGGCCCCTCTATAATGTCCGCCATTGATTTTAATGCGCAATGTTTAACAAAATATAAATTACTTAGAAATTGCATTTCCAATCTTGCAAAACCATGAAGAATTGTAAAATATCACTGGGGCAGCATGCTTTGAAACGCTCCAGGTTTCCCCTAGCTAGGTTTACCCCTTCTGCAAAATTTAGGGCATTATTCCACTAGTTCTGGTGCGAATGAAACTTTTTCCAAATAAATTCTTGATGCTGTACAGCTAGAGACTGTTTAAAATATTTAGACCGGTAAGACATACTGTAACGCATGCGCATCTCCACCCGATACACACTCTCGATGTCTATACAGTTTTGTAGAACAATCTGTTATACCTACTATAAAATATTGAGCTTGTCAACTAGATATTTATGAAATGTACTTACACAATTTTCCATCTATGAGGAAAATCCCATACCTCACGTAACGAATGACAAAGCCATCGGAAAGGCCAACTCGCACAGGGAATGTATTACTCTTTAAGTCACTTACTGGAACAGGAATCTAATTTCAAACAAATCCACATGTATTGAAAAGAGTCAATTAAAATACTCATTAATAATTCATGAGGAAAACACAAAAGAAATGAATGTTTGATTTTCGCGGCTTAGACAATGTTTATTTTTAAAATTACTTCGCCAATGAACTCATAAGATGGGTCGCGTCTGATCTTTATCTGATATACAAACTCTCGCCTTCGGCTCGAGTTTGTATATCAGATAAAAATCGGATGCTAATGTTTTAACTAGTAGTTAGTAATACACTGTTAGAATAATTAACTTTGTAGCATAACAAGTTATTTTAATTAGCAAAAAAAGAAACTTACATCTTTATACGCAAAAACTATTGTACCATTCTTCAGAATTGAACATTGGAAGGAAAATGTGCCAGCTGATAAAGATAACAAATAAAATATTAACAGATATTAACAGTTGTCTTTAACAGATAATAACAATTATATTTAACAGATATTAACAATTATACTCGGCGAAATATCATCCGAAGTGATGGTATTTCCCAAGGGCGAAGCCCCCGAGGATTCTTTGCGGACACCCCTCAGGTGATATGACCCAATCACTCACGTGCTTTGATTGAAATCATCCGCTGCATCTAATACGACGTTATTCGATTATAAATTTCATGCTCACGTGATACAACCCTAGCTTTCTAATTGGACAATTTGAATTTTGAGAGATCCTAAAAGGCTAAAATGATATGTTAAACACTGCCGATACTGATTTAACAAACATTGCTTTACAAAAAAAACATCATGATAACCTTGCTGATTTTGTAATTTCAAGTTCCTCCATTCCACGGTGAAACGGTCACCTACAAATCAATAAATGGAATAATTAATTAAATACAAATTTAATAATAAAACTGTTATATTTTGATTTGTCGTTGGGTTTGGAAAGCCATGCAATCGTTTACCGTAAAGTCCATTCTTACGTTATATACATACTATTACTATAAAGTTTGCGATTGTATAAGGTACACGCGTAAAAACGCTCAGGTTGATGCAATACTGATGAAAACAGGATTGAACAATGTTTTGCTGCCCACATTGTTCATAGCTGTCAACAATATTGAACAATGTTGTCACACCCGATTCAGGCTCAACAATACTGTTCAATATTGTTGACAAGTGTGAACAACGTGGGCAGCAAAACATTAAAACTGCCTGTACCAGTGTGGGTAGTACCAATGTGAAAATGCTGTGCTGAGTGGTTATATTACTACCTTAAAAAATAAGCAGAAACTCGACGTTTCGAGCGAAGGCCCTTCGTTGACGAAGGGATTGTTTCGCTGGCCTCAAAGTGACAAAACGTAACAAAGCAACGGTTTTACTAACACTAACTCTACTCCAAACACCAACTTTAACTCTAATCCTTACCCTAACCCTACTCCAAATTTGTTTCTAAACCAATCTTGAAGAAAAAAGTTTTGACGAAATGTCATTCTGAGGCCAGCGAAATAGTTGATGCCGTACGGTACATACACTCATAACATTCATAACTCGTCTACTCGTTCACATACATCAGAAGACGAAATTGCACTATAAGAAATCGCAGCGAAATTTGCAAGTGTAAACGTTATAGGGACGGACCATAATTTTTTGGAAGGAGCGATAAGAGATCCTTAAAAAATTGTTTGCAAGAACAAAAAAATATTCAAATAAATGATGGCACATTATTGCATCGTAAAAATTTATTTCAAGAC